GATGCCCTTTTTTGAGTAGGCAACTTCAATTCCTAGAAAGTACTTTAGGGGACCCAGACCTTTCACTTCAAATTGAGAGGAAAAGAATTCCTTTAACTTTTGTATTTTTGTGCTCCAGTTTCCTGTAATGATGATATCATCCATGTACACTATCAATACAGCCACTTGTTTTTAATATTTCTTTACAAAAAAGAGTGTGATCAGATTGACATTGTTTGAACCCTACTTGTTGAAATGCCATATAAAATTTATTAAACCATGATCTAGGAGACTGTTTTAAGCCATAGAGGGACTTTCTTAGTTTGCACACCTTTTTTTTTCACTTCCTTTGGCATGGAAACCTGGGGGTTGAACCATGTACACCTCCTCCCTCATCCATATCACCATTTAATAAGGCATTCTTTATATCTAGTTGATGCAATTCCCAATCAAGGTTTGCAACTAATGATAAAAGAGCTCGAACTGAGTTCATCTTAGCTACTAGAGCAAACATTTCATCATAGTCAACACCATAGGCTTAAGTGTATATTTTAGCTATCAACTTTGCTTTGTACCATTCAACTGTCCCATCTGCCTTGTGTTTCATTATAAACACCCACTTATACCCCATTGGGTCTTTCCCTTTTGGAAGATCCACCAACTCCCATGTTTGATTCTTATGGAAAGCATTAATCTCTTCCTTCATAGCATATTTTCATTCAATATATTTTAAAGCCTCTGCCACATTTCTAGGTATGGAGATGCTATCAACTACAAATAAGAAGGCACAGTGAGAGGGGGAAATGTGGTCATAGGAAACACACCTTTGTTACTGATGGGAGCCAGGGTATCAATAGGTAAATAAAAGGTGTTGGGCTTACCTCTTGGGAATCTTTCGGTGTTGGTTGCTCAGTGTTTGGTAGCTCCACACCTTTGTTACTGATGGTGCACAATTTGAATGCTCTTAACTGGAGGGCAGCTCGGACGCTGGTTGCTTTGCTGATCGGTCAAACTGCAAGGAAACAATGCTCAGAGAACCCAAGATACCTTACCCGGTGTGGGCACTCTAATGCTTAAGTTAGTAATCTGGTATGCGAGCTGAAAGCTTAATTGCAAGTAGGCTAGTGAGCAATAAATCGCATGTACCTTACACTGTTGGGGTTGGTGCCCTGATATAGGTGAGCTACCATATACCTTACAAAACACCTCCGAGATCCCCGACCTGTGCTATTAGGAATCCGTTCTGCTCCAGGAGGTGGACTTCGTGTAAGCTGATAAGGCTTATCGAGTCCGTCCGATCCGGGCGAGATGAGGATAAGGCTTGTAGACATGCAGCGTGATTCTGAAGAGGTCAGAGATAACTGGCTAGCTTCTAGAAGTTGGCTACATGTCACCTCGGCAAGTCGGGCCTTCGCGAGCTGCTTGGGCCTCGGTCTTGGACGAGGTGCTCGAGGTACCTAAGATGACTTGGCTCGTTGAGGTGGCAAGAGATGCCAAGTTGTCATCCAGTCAGCAAGTCGCTTCCACGTGTCTAGGTGTTGGTAGGTCGGACCAAGTTACCCTTCATCAGTTACATTGTTGATCTCTACGACGTTTACATTGGAAGACACTAAAAGGAGTAGGATCTGAAATAAAAGGTAGAGAGACGTGATGGACCTGGACACGGACATGCTTTTCCTCTTCTACATTACTCTTCCCTTAAAGAAAAGTAGGGAAGAATGATTCAGACTTAAAGAATGAGACACCCATGGAGACATAAAACTTATGACCCACAGGATCAAAGCACCAGTAACCCTCTTGTGAGGAGGGATACCCAAAAAGATACAAGGAATAGACCGAAGATCCAACTTACCACGGGATAGAGATAAATCATGGACAAAAGCACGACATTGGAATACCCTAATGGCAATGGAAAATAAAGGAGACTAAGGGAACAATAATTGATGAGGGGCCTTATAGTTTAATGCTCTGGAGGGCATGAGCAGCAGCAAGTACAACCTCAACCCAAAAACGTTTGGGAGCATTCATATGTAGCATCATTCCTCGGGCTACCTTAAGGAGGTGTCTATTATTTCTTTCTACAATACCATTTTGTTGTAGTGTCTAGAACACGAGCTCCTATGAATGGCTCCATGAGAAACAAAGAACTTATTGAGCTCTCCATGGAAATATTTCTTTGTATTGTCTTATTAAAAGATTTGAATTTCAACATGAAGCCGTGTAAACACCATCCTCTAGAAATCTCTCATGATCTTTGGGACTTCATCTCTGCTACGCATGGGAAATACCCATGTATAACAGAAGAAATCATCAATCAATGTGATAAAGTTTTTATACCCGCCCTCTAAAGTTATTGTAGTAGACACCCATACATTAGAATACACAATATGGAAAGGAAAACTAGATCTTATATTACTTGAATGAAATATAGTTCCACATTACTTAACTAACACATTTGACAATAGAAATCTAACACTGAACATCACTTAAATAAAAAAGGAAACAAAAACTTCACTATTTCAAAAGACACATGACCTAACCGATTATGCCACAAAAAAAATTGACTATTATTTAATTGACCATGCAACTCTAAGGATGACATCGAGAAACCAACCTTGTTGTTGAGAGTGTAGAGACCATCCATTAAGCTTCCTCTACCAATCGTCTTCCCAAAAGTTAGATCCTAGAAAACATATGAATCAAAAAAAAATGTTACACTACAGTTTAATGAGTTTGTGATGCTACTAGCAAAAAGAAGATTGATGGGAAGTTGAGAAACATGCAAAACATTATTTAGGTTAAGTCCATGAGGGAGGGATATTGATCATTCACTTGAAATGGAGGAGAATGGTCCATTTGCAAGTCCTACCTTATCCCTTCTTGACAAAAGGTTATAAGACTGGAATAGGTATGAGTTACTGGTCATGTGATTAGGTGCCCTTGAGTCAATGATCCAAGGGGAATCAATGGTAGTAGAGACATGAAAGGTAGAGGGCATTACCTGATATAGATGCAAGTGAAGTAGAAGGGTTACCAGTAGATAAATTGTCCATCTGGTGCAAGGGCCTACCATATGATTCCAAATGACTACGGAATGAGTTCATTATATCTTCATTGGGGTCTAAACCAATGAAGTTCTCTTGAGTAGTATTTGTTGACACCTCAACAAATTAAGTTTCTTGGGTTGCCACATTTGTTGTATTATGTGCTATATTAGGCTTCTTTTGACCTTGTGCCTTACCCTATTCTTGGTTCTTTATAGCCCACTTTGGCCTCCTATGGATCTCCCAGCATGTGCCACATGTATGTTTTGAACGCCAGCAGTGGGTACAGAATAACTTGTCCTTATTATCAACTTTCTTTGAGTCATTTTTCTTTCTCATATTATTACCACCCATTGTAGCTAATTCTACCTGTTGCTCCCCTTCAATTGTAACTATCACACTCCGCCTACTTTCCTCAGACTGAATAAGGGCATGCACCTCTTGGACTGAAGGCAACTCTTTACTTTCTAAGATCTGAACTCTAAGTGGTTCTTATACAGGGTTTAGTCCCAACAAGAAGGCAAAAACTTGCTACTGAAAAACCAACTTCTTATAGGCTCTAGCATCATCATCATGTTTCCATTCTATAGCCTGATAATGGTCAAATTCCTTCCATACTAAGGTAATGGTTGAATAATAGGCTGGCAAGCTATGGTTCCCCTATTTACAGGTCGAGGATTCAACTTGTAACTAGTAGATCTTGGCATAGTGCCTTTGCTTAGAATATGTGGTTTTGGTTAGTTCCCATATCTCACTTGAAGTGTCTGTCCACATAAAGTTCTTCTTCACATCAGATTCATGGCTGCAAGAAGCTAGGATATCACCATATTGTTTTCTTGGTTCCACCGATCATGTTCAACAATCTCACTCTTTGGTTTTCACTCTTCCATTTATGTAACCAGCTTTTCCCCTTATTGTTACATAAAGTTTTACACTTTTAGCCCACTCCATGCAGTTCAGGCCATTTAAAGGAGTGATTGGCATAGGAAACATCATACTTTCTGCCCCATACGAGTTGTACTATGGGTTGACGTAACCCTAGATGAGGTATAGTCATCATTCGACATTGGCAAGAACAAGTCTATAAGTCAAAACCAAATTTTACAGGTGAACAAAACCAGTCCTCACACAAGTACTACCTCTCACAGTCACACTTAAGGCACAAAACCTCATAAATTACTTCTGAAATAAAGTGGACATCTTTGAGGTCTACTGGCAACAACTAAACAGTTTAGAACCAGTTCATATAAAAGGAGAACACCGCTGCAATCTACTACCAGTCTAGAAAATTTGAAAATAGTCACCATTGGACTACACACTTCACACACCAATCAATCACAACACATACCTGTGACAAAGGGGATCACACACCCCTGTGCAGGAAATCAATCACAAGAAGTAGTCCTGATCAGACAATTAGGATTTCTTGCCCTTACTATTCAGGAAATCAAAAATCTGGGTTGAATGAATATGATTTAGAAGAAAAAATGACTCCTATTGCCTAAATTTACGCTCTGATACCATGTTTTCTCACAAGAATAGAGAGAGAAGAGAGAGGAGAGAAGAGAGGAGAAGAGAAGGGAAAGAAAGATGCGTGAGAGTCAAAATTTTAGGCTGGCAATGCCCAGTTTCTCTTTTTTAATAATATGATGTAATAAAATAAAATTACAAGTAAATCCCTGACAGAAATAAAACACTTCAATCTAATTAACCATTTGTTTCCACTTTTTAAAATTCCAAATGTTGTCATAAGTGTTAAAAAAATCAAAAGATAGAACTCAACCTTGTTTATTTGGCAATGAAATCCTGAGAGGATCTCTCTCAAGATTAACCAATCACCAACTCTTAATATTAGAAATACACTGTATGGTTTCCCTCTTGATCTATCAATTGTGCATGACCACGTTCTAGTATGTTGTATATATCCGAAGGTTGCCATGTAAATAATCAATCCTATAATTTTATCTTTGTTTTGACCATCAATTGATCAGGTCACCAATCTTCACTACAGAGGAGCAAGGCTGAAGGGAATGAAAAATGAAGTCCTAGCAGCCATTTTTTATGCAAAATACTCTTCAACAAGGTTTTTAAAACTAAATTGGACATTAAACTGGTCAGGGCTCTGATTGCCGGGTAGAATGATCCATTGTTTGAATCGAATAAATGGTCCGTTCTGACAAAAAATAAAAAATAAAAAAACAGCGGAACCCACTACTAGAATTCTTATATTTAGAGGCACTTGATCGGAGGCGGTCAGGGAAAAATGCCTCTAACATATTAATTGAGGCAGACTTATTGAGTTACTTTAGAGGCACTTTTTGATGCCTTTGAAGTTATAATTTTGCGCATTTTTGGCGGACGGATAAAATTAGTCGCCGATTTAGTTTGCCGCCCAAACACCGTTGCGCGCACATCTCCTTTTTTTCCTTTTCCTCTCGTCTTCTCTTCCTACTAATATGTCCTAATCGAAGTCAAATGGGTAATAGGATTCTTGTCAGTGACCTACATTGATTTACCTACATTGGAACTGAAACGGAAGCAGTCAGGGATACGACACCTATTCATCGTCTTAATAGGTTGGCGATACGGATTAAATCTTCTATACCTATTTGCAGGTATGTACATCCTTCAACGCCCTTCGGATTATTTACAGGTTTTTTTTTTTTTTTGCAACTGGTTGGTTATTTGTGCTTGTGGTGTTCGGTCAACTCCTTCCTCTCTTCTCTATCTCTCGTTCTTTCTCATTTGCTATCTTTCAAAAAATCAAAGTAAAATTTATTATCTTTCACATCCGAAGTAAATAGAGCATAGTTTTGCATCCATTCTCACTTTCAGATCGCAAAACCCTCAAAGAGAGAAATAGAGGAGAAGGGTTCTGAACTACGAGAAAAAAGGTAAGTGTAGTGATCCCTACCTTCGATTTCTAAAAAGTGAGAGAGGTAACTCTATTATTTCAATACCCGGTATCTCATTTTGGTATTTTTTTCGTCTTTAGGTCACCTATCTTTTTGGAAGATCTACCTTTGTTTTTAGGTAGATTTGCAAAGGCCACTTTGATCTACCTTCGTTTTTAGGTAGATCTACATTCATTTTCAGAGAGGCAACTCTAATATACCTTTGTTTTTAGGTAACTAATCAACCTCATTTTCAGAGTAGATCTCAGGGGAACACCCATAGTTGAGTTTAATGGACAATATCCAGCAAACCTAGCTAAATGTTGGCTGATTATCAAGTGAAACTTTCATTAGTTTGTTTACTTGGTTCATGCAGCACATCTTTGTAAAGTCCAAGTTTTTGAACTTTACTCTTAAAGCATCTTATAAGCTAATGCTGGTTCTAAATATAAACTTCAAGATAGAAACAGTCTCTAGGCCATAGTACTTGACACTAAACCGGTCCATATATGAGATATGAATATGATTAAAGCATGTAAACATCATAAAAACATATACAAATTCAAAAATACACTGCTATAAAATCACTGTCAACAGTTGTACCATGATTCAAATCACTCCTAAAAGAAAGAAAAGCAATCATGCATATTAGAGAATTACTAAACACCAACTATTGACCCCACCGTCATACCAAAATATAATCTAATTTAATAGAKWRGG